AAAAGACAAAAAATATACTTAACAAATTATTAAAATTAAAATATAGAAATTCAAAAATTTTAAATGGAAAGATAAAAATATACTTAAAAAATTATTAAAATTAAACTATTTAAACATATAATAATATTATTACAAATAAATTAGAATATATAAAATAAAATAAAATGACTAAATAATTTAAAAATTAAAAAAATAAAATATCATAAATATTATTTAAATAAGTTATTAAAAATATAAAATATAAAAAAACTGTATCGATACCCTCTTAAATAAGATGGTACCATAGAATTTCTCTATTTAATTTGTATACATATAAAGATAATATTTTGGGAAGAGAAAACAATGTGTTAGGTGGTGATTTTTTGTTTTTGAATTTTCGACGTTCATGTGGTGAAATTGAAACACGTGAACTACCAAAAACAAATAGCCACTCCATATATAATCTTATTGGCAAGGTTCTGAAATTATCATCGATCGGCACTAGCAACAGCCATGGGAGAGGTTGACCCAGCTTTCATTCAAGACCCACAACACAGGCCAAAACTCTCCATTATCCAAGCCGAAGGAATTCCCATAATTGACCTCTCTCCAATAACCAACCACAAACTTTCAAATCCATCTTCCATTGAAGGCTTAGTGAAGGAGATAGGAAGTGCATGCAAGGAGTGGGGCTTCTTCCAAGTAACCAACCATGGGGTGCCCCTCTCTCTAAGGCAAAGGATTGAGGAAGCTTCTAGATTGTTCTTTGCGCAGACTCTGGAGGAGAAGAGGAAGTACAGAAGAGATGAGGTATCTCCAACTGGTTACTATGACACTGAGCACACCAAAAACGTTAGGGACTGGAAAGAAGTCTTTGATGTTCTAGCCCAAGACCCTACTTTCATTCCAGTCACTTCTGATGAACATGATGACCAACTCACTCACTGGAATAATCGATTCCCTCAATACCCTCCAAACTTTAGGTAATTCATCTGCACTTTCTACTAGTTAGTAGTCACAATATGAAATCTGTTTCAATATAAGTTTAGAAAAGTTTTTCCATATAGACTAATACAAAATAAAATTCAAGTTCTCTCTCTTTATTGTTATGTGTATAAAACAATGCGAAAATGAGCAGGGATATTGTCGAAGAGTATATTCAAGAGATGGAAAAGCTGTCCTTTAAGTTGATGGAGCTTATAGCTCTGAGCTTAGGCCTTGAGCCAAAGAGGTTTGAAGAGTTTTTCATCAAAGATCAAACAAGTTTCATTCGACTGAACCACTATCCTCCATGTCCTTATCCTCACCTAGCTCTTGGTGTTGGTCGACACAAGGATGGTGGAGCCTTAACCGTTCTTGCCCAAGATGAAGTTGGAGGACTTGAAGTCAAACGCAAAGCAGATCAAGAGTGGGTTAGAGTGAAACCTACACCAGATGCTTACATAATTAACGTTGGTGATACTATTCAGGTACCTCTATGTAGCTATATAAAGATGGTAAATGTTGAATACATGGTTTATGGGATCCTAGTTTATGAAATATATAATCCCTTAATTAGAATTTAGAAACTTGTACTTGAGTATTGGATATTGTTATTTGTTAACGCAGGTTTGGAGCAATGACTTATATGAGAGTGTGGAACACAGAGTGATGGTTAATTCGGAGAAAGAAAGGTTTTCCATTCCGTTTTTCTTCTTTCCTGCACACGACACAGAAGTGAAGCCTTTCGAGGAGTTGACAAATGAGAAAAACCCTCCAAAATATAGGCCATACAAATGGGGCAAGTTTCTTGTCCACAGAAAGGGAAGCAATTTCAAGAAACAGAATGTGGAGAACATTCAGATTTATCATTATAAGATAGCTTAAATTAGCAGGGGCATTTAGGTTATGCGTGTAAATCAGACTGATGCAAGAAGGTTTCTGATATTTGGGATTGTGATATTATTTACTACTATAAATTGCTAGAGTGCGTTATGAATATGGCTGTAGTAGCATTGATTAGAAGAATAAAATAATACCATTTATCATGATCTCAAAAATTGAAATTACATCTTTCGTTGATTATACTGTTCAATACAATCTAAAAGATGAAATTTCTTCATTATAAAATAGCTACCTTCTCAATTACCGATATTTGTTTTAATTAATTTGCCCAGATAAGTGAAAGGACCGAACAATTCCGAAGCCTTTATGATGTTGAAGAGTGTTATATATGGCTTATCACCCTTAACTTGAACTTGAGATTTTTAAAAAATTGAGAAATGATTTTAAACCTTTGAAATGAAATAGAGCAGTTAATGGTACTTATTGCTAGAGATAGAGCAAATGTCATTAGTCTTTCTTAAGTTCTGGTTTTTAAAATTGGTTTCTTAGTTAAGTTATGCAAGAGATTGATAGTTTAAGGGTGAGATTAACTATACATAGACATGTAGAACTCTACAAATGATGAAGAAAGGAGGATGCTTGATCTTGAAGGTTCCGGAACTCTCCAGCTGCCACACAGACTACAAGAATGATTCCTCACACTTCTCTTCTCGAAAATCCCTCTTTTAAGTCATAAAAGTTTTTGTCTTATGTGAATAATGACATGTCAGCACAATCCACGCTAAGTATGAGATGTCACGCTAAGCTTGAGAATAGGTTTGAAAAGAAATGAAGTTCTGGAACTCTCACGCTTAGCGCCAATTCCATGCTCAGCTTGAAGATTGAAGTTTGTTTTAGTGATTCTCTGTCAAGCTAAGGCTAAGCGTGGATCTGAGACTTAGCCTGGAGACCTAACAAAAAATTTCTTCTATTTTGATTTTACCACTTTGTTCTTTGCTTCCTTCCTTCTTTTCTAACTTTCTCCTAAACTACAAAACGACAACTAAATACTTGGAAGTTACCTAAAAACATGATTTAAAGACAAAATTTGATCACCTAACAATTTAGATATGTTTTGAGTTAAAAACAATATCTAAAGCAAGAAAAATTGATATAAGTACTTCAAATTAGAGCATAAACTTAATGAAATTATAGCATTTATCAAAGAGCATATGAAAGTTGATAGTTTTCCTGATTAAACAATAGCAAGCGTCCAAATTAGTTTACAAAGATTTTATTGAAAGGCTCTATGTGGGGATGCTGAGTATGAAACCGATAAATTTGTATTGGCTGCTTTCATCTTTTTGCCAATTTTATATCCCTTTCTAAGCAATTTTCTTTTAAGAAAATAATTAAAGCAAAACAATCAGTTTCTCTCTAACGAAACAATCCTTTTATCACTAATAAAATTTCGTGCTTTTAATTACTTCTTTGAAGTGATGATACTTAATTACACACTAGTTTCCTTTTTGAGGCTATGTTTCAAAATGAATTGAAATATAATAAAATAATATGGATATAATTCTTAATTAAAATTTATTTTATTGTGTGAATATTTTATAGTGAGATGAAATAAATTTTATTCCATTATTTAATAGAATATTTTATAATTCTTAATTCTCATGTTATATTTATTTTAAATATACCTTTATGAGAGATTAATAATTAGGAGAATTGATTTGTAAATATGTTGTATATATTTTCCCTTTTATCAGTGAGAATAAACATATATAATTGTATGTATTATTTTTTTTTTATTATCATATCAAAGTAGGTTACGATATTTAGAGTAGACTCGATATATCGCTAAACATAAAGTAAATCTTATTTGTGAAGAATAGTGACATATATGTTTGATACTTAATCCTCCTATGATGACACTCAATCAAGATAAAAAAGAGCCTCGGGCCCTTTATAAACCTTAACAACAACCTACATCAAATAGAAAAATATGATAATTCCTATTCCTGATATAAAAAAAAAAAAAAAAAATCACATTGCATTGTTACATGAAATGATGACATGAATTTCAGAAGCAAGCAGAGATATCTAGCTTCATTTTAATTTCTTTCAATCAATAACACATACTCCCGAAATATCATATTATAGTAATTTCAATTCCTAAAATTTCATATTCATCGTATGAAAGCTTTTTCTACTTAAAGACTACTTTCGCAATATTTCAAAAATTTTAGAAATTATGACAGTACTATCATTAATTATATAGAAACAATGCCCCTAAACTTAGAAGGCGTGATTGAAAATCCCTTACATGTGTTTGGATGCAAAGTCTCACATAATTAGAATACGAGGAAAAATATAAATTTATAAACATAGACATACTTCGTTAACTTATTGATATGGAATCTTCCTTATATTCTATTGGATGAGAATGACGGTTTAACAGCAATTTATTGGTAATATATTTGTGGTAGAACAATAATATTGTTAAGTTCTGTGTATAGATTTACAAAGAATCATAATTTTTTGGAAAAATAATGGTATTAGGTAGTGAAATTGAAACAAGTGAACCACTCCATATATAATAGTAGACTATGCCCCTCACAAAGTCCTCAATCATCAGCGGTAGCAACAGCCATGGGAGAGGTTGACCCAGCTTTCATCCAAGACCCACAACACAGGCCAAAGCTCTCCATCATCCAAGCCGAAGGAATACCCATAATTGATCTCTCTCCAATAACCAACCACACAGTTTCAGATCCATCTTCCGTTGAAGGGTTGGTTAAGGAGATAGGAAGTGCATGCAAGGAGTGGGGCTTCTTCCAAGTAACCAATCATGGGGTGCCCCTCTCTCTAAGGCAAAGGATTGAGCAAGCTTCAAGGTTGTTCTTTGCACAAAGTCTGGAGGAGAAGAAAAAGCATAGCAGAGATGAGAGCTCTACAACTGGTTACTATGACACAGAACACACCAAGAACGTTAGAGACTGGAAAGAAGTCTTTGATTTTCTAGCGAAAGACCCTACTTTCATCCCTGTCACTTCTGATGAACATGATGATCGAGTCACTAGCTGGACCAATCCATCTCCTCAATACCCTCCAAACTTTAGGTAATTCATCTTCACTTTGTAATAGTTATGAACTTTCAAATTCTGGTTAAAACAAGTGTTATTTCCTCCTTTTTTTTTTCTATCTCTCTTGTGATTTAACTATATAGATGGACAATTATTTAATGGGTTGTGTTTAAACGACGTGAATATGATCAGTGATATAATCCAAGAGTATATTGAAGAGGTGGAAAAGCTGTCCTTTAAGTTGTTGGAGCTTATAGCTCTGAGCTTAGGCCTTGAGCCAAAGAGGTTTGAAGAGTTTTTCATGAAAGATCAAACTAGCTTTATTCGGCTGAACCACTATCCTCCATGTCCTTATCCTCACCTAGCTCTTGGTGTTGGTCGACACAAGGATGGTGGAGCCTTAACCGTTCTTGCCCAAGATGAAGTTGGAGGACTTGAGGTCAAACGCAAAGCAGATCAAGAGTGGGTTCGAGTGAAACCTACACCAGATGCTTATATAATCAATGTTGGGGATATTATTCAGGTACCAGTAACTAATATAAAAAGACTAAAGATGTTAAAATTATACTGACTTTAAAATATTGGGTGATACTTGTTGGTGTTGTTTATGCAGGTTTGGAGCAATGACGCCTATGAGAGTGTGGAACACAGAGTGATGGTTAACTCTGAGACAGAAAGGTTTTCCATTCCGTTTTTCTTCAACCCTGCACACGACGCCGAAGTCAAGCCTTTGGAGGAATTGACAAATGAGCAAAACCCTATGAAATATAGGCCATACAAATGGGGCAAGTTTCTTGTTCACAGAAAGGAAAGCAATTTCAAGAAACAAAATGTGGAGAACATTCAGGCTTATCATTATAAGATAGCTTAAAGGATAATCAATTAACAGGGCCATTTAGCTTATGCATGTAAAGCAGACTGATGGATGAATGTTTCTGATTTGTGGGACTGTGATGTAATTTGATGCAAAAAAATCACTAGTGTGCGCATTATTGAAAGGCTCTTCGTGGGGTTGATGAGTATGAAACTAATAAACTATGTATTGGCTGCATTCATCTTTTTGTCAGCAATGATTTTTTCCAGGAACACTTATTACCATTGGATTGAATGTAAATGAGAAAAGCCTATATCACTAAGGAAACTTAAGTAGATGTGTAACTCATGCAATTCCCGGCCTATCAGTCTACAAATTATTTAACGGAACTAAAGTACTTGTGGTTATTACATCTTTTTTATTGGTTGGATATTTTCTTTTTAATTTTAAGAAATGGTTTATATGTTCTAAGTTCTTTAGCCAGATCAGATTTCAAAGGATATGGAGGATAGAGACCTCCCTGTTTCAATTGATTAAGAAAATTCAAATATAATTAATACTCCATTTAAAAGTCGCTCTTGTCTTGAGGCCTCTGCTGAAGAATTGTTGGTTGTGGTAGAAATTTGCTAACACAAGATAAAGGGTGAAATGAGAATGAAATCAATGACGCCCTTAAACGAGATGTTTCTGGATTCCAAGAAAATCAAGACGCAACGTTATCACATTGCTTGTTTCCGTGAAATTAATCCAAGTGGTCACCATTGCTAGAAGGAAAGTCAAAATCTACTCCCTCTCACCCCTCTACGATATTGATTTCATTTTTAACATTTGAAAATCCTTAACCACAATTAAAAGTAATAAATTTATTGAAAGATTGAACAATTTTAGTAAAATTATATAAAAAAAAAGTCAAATCACAACAGCAAATAATAATAATAATAATAATAATAATAATTTACAATAAATTGGATTCAAGGTAATTGTAATGAATAAGTAATTTAATTTATAAATTATTTAGTTTGTCATGAAGAACCATGTACCAAAAAAGATTATGCATTAAATTAGTAAATACAAATATATACATGTTAATTAGTAATTTAACATGCAAAATTTTTTATTGAAACTTAAAATAAAAATTTCAAGTAGATTATGCTTAAAAATCATTTTATTATTTTATATTAAATAATGTTTTTTCTAATATCATTCATTTAGAAATAATTTGAATTAATTAATTAATTAATAGTCTAAAAATTTTATTTATAATATAAAAGGTAACTTACTTTGTATTACGTTGACACATCAGCTTAAAATATCTATAACATGTTGTCATGTCAATAAAATTGTTTATATGTCATTCTGAATTACCTCTGTATAATAACTACAAATCACTCTCCTTTTACCCAATATGTCATTAATTTTAATAAATAATAATTGAATATTATTTATTATTTTTTACAACTGACATTTTAACAATCAACATTCAATTTCGGTTAATCTACATAATAACATTCAATTTGCTTTTAAATTTTGCAAAGTTAAACATTGTTTCCCCTCAGACAGAAAAAATAATAGTGTACATTTATCTCAATTTAAATTTCAATTGATTATAACATCTATTCTCACATTATTAATATTTTATATAGAATGCTATTTTCATCAATTGAAGTATTGGAATGCAATTATATTTTAATAAAATTGAGCAATAATAAACTAATAATTAGACTATTCTTATTTTCATAAATTTTAATTATATATATATATATATCATTTTAATTTAGAATAAAATGGATTTAAGGTAATGAGAACTAATAAGTAATTTGATTTCTAAATTATTTTTTTTTCTAAATTATTTGATTTCTAAATTATTTAGTTTGTTACGAAGAATCATGTACCAAAAAAAGATGATGCATTAAATTAGTAAATACAAATATATATACATGTTAATTAGTAATTTAACATGCACAATTTTTAATTGAAATTGAAAACAAAAATTTCAAGTAGATTATGCTTAAAAATCATTTTATTATTTTATATTAAATAATTTATTATTTATTAATATCATCCATTTAAAAATAATTTTATTTAATTAATTAATTATAGTCTTAAAAATTAAAATATAGAGGTTGGTTTTGTACTGTAATATTATTCTCCATTATTTGATCTCCTAATATTTATTTTGTTAAATATATGAATATGTCAAGTCCATTTCTTTTAATACTAAAATTTTAAAAAAAAATCTTATATCCTTTAAAATTTATTTTAAAGAATCTCAATATTATTATTCACTAATTATTTTTTTAAAATTCAAACAATGAGCCTAAATCACCACAACCAAATTCTTTCTTGGATAAAGAATCCATTATAAGTACAAACAAACAACTATCCAAGAAGTTAAAAGATGAATCATCATCAAATAAAAAGGCTCATTCAAGGAAAAAGACATGTATACAAATTGTTGACAATTTCCCAGAAGAGTCAATTCGAATTCAAAGTTTAAAGAAAAATAAACCAAAGAAAAAACAATTCAACAACCTCACACCAAAAAAGAAAATCACTAAATATCTATTTGAATAGTGACCTATATTCATTTTAATATCATTTTTGTTTCATTGGTGGTTTGTTATTTTGTAATCAATTTTTTACTTCAATAATAAATTTTTATCTTTGTCTGCATTCACCTCAATTTCACTCTTACAAAACTAATTTTACATAATATTTATTTCTGTACATAATATCAATACTTATTTTTAATGTAGAAGTGTTAACTCAAATTTATAATATAATAAAAAAAATAATATATGATAATTGTCATATATTAATTTATTTCATATCTTTATATTGCAAAATAATAGTTATAATATTACAAAATTTTAATTTACATATATTAAAATATTATATAAAAAAAATAGGAAATTTCAATAAACTGTGTAACGCGCCAATTCATGTCTAGTTTATATATAAAAGCTCAGCTACACTCTATTACATTGACACGTCTTTATAAAATTAATTTTACATATTGTCATGTCAGTATATTTGCCTATGTGGCAAATTCTCTAAACTTCTATCTTCTATTATATTTTTCTTTTACTTTCTATATATTATATCTCTTCCCATTCTATTTAATTTAACTATCATTTGTCTATTGACTAATTTTTATTTCATCATCAAAAAGGTACTACTATTTTATATCTTCCTTTTTTTTCTCCTCCCACTTTACTGTCTAATTTTTATTTCATCATGGTACTACTTTTTTCTCTCTTCCTTTTTTTTTTCTCATATTTTCCCTTTACTTTCTATATATTACATTTCTTCGCATTCTATTTAATTTAACTCTCATTTCTTTATTGTCTAATTTTTATTTCATCATTAAAAAGGTACTATTGTTTTATATCTTCCTTTTTTTTCTCCTATCATTTCTATATTGTCTAATTTTTATTTCATCATGATACTATTTTTTCTCTCTTCCTTTTTATTCCCTATATCCTTTATATTCTATATTTATTTTCTATCTAATATATCTTTTATCCTCTTTGTTTAATTTTCATCTCATATGACAATCTTTGTCAAAAAAATGAAATATACTAGTTTTCTTCTCTCTTTTTTCTCTACCTTTTATATTACATATTTATGTTCTTTTATACTAGTTTTGTTCTTCTTCTTTTTTCCTACCTTATATATCGTACTAATTTTTTCTTCCTTTTTTTTTCTTCTCTCATTTTTGTTAACTTTTCGGTTACAAACAAATTAGTTTTAATTATAAATAAAAATGAATTAATATCAATTAATATTAATTATATATTAAAATAATTCATCATTAATTGAAACGTACTAATTTTATCTTCTTTTTTTTCTTCTGTCATTTTTGTTAAATTTTCAGTTACTAACACATTAATTTTAATTATAAATAAAAATGAAGTAATATTAATTAATATTAATTATAGATTAAAATATTTCATCATTAATTTACTACTTAAGAAATTTAATTTGATTAAACTCTCCATTTCAAAAATTAATAATAAATATTATAGTAATTAATATTGATATTAATATTAATAATAAACCATTATTAAAAAAATTGTTTTTGCGAAAACCTAATAATTATTATTAATTGACATTTATACTCATTAATAAGAAAAATAATAAAATTTTTATTAATATTAATTTTAAATAATAATAATAATAATAATTTTTTGGAAAATCTCCCGACAATTAGATTGTATAAGAGTTACATATTTAAAATAATGAATATATGTATATTCTTTATTATCAATTTATTAATTTGATAAAATATTGAAATGGACTATTTTATAATTTAGTTATAAAAAATATTTATATGGATATATTACCTTTAATTATGAATTTTTTAAAAGATTATTTACTTGAATAGTATATTTTTGAATTTAAATCTAACAAAAAAAAATAAAAGGATAAAATATTATATAAATATAAATATCAAAGATATTTATAATAATATTTTTTTTCTTTACAAACAATAATAAATTTATTTGTTATAAAAAAAATCAATAACAAACTTATATTACATTATTAAAAAATTATATACATAATTTATATATTAACTAATAAAATAATATTTTTTTTAATTTAAATAATTTATTTTTATTCGCGCATCGCGTGGGTTTATGCCTAGTTTAATAAGAATTGAGAGGTAATTATTTAAGAAAAAAATATTTTTTGAGTAACCCTCTTAAAAATTAAAAATATCACAATCCTACATTCATAAGCAAAATCTATATCTAGATTAGGTCCTATTATTTTTCCTTATTTACGTTTGAAAAAAAAGATTTTCACATACAAGTTGATGGAAGCCCTCCTAAGCATTGATGGAAGAAGGAGTATCAATGGGAGGCCTCATGGACTCCTCGGATCACAATTCTTCAAAGGCTTAGTCGTGGATGATGGTTGTGACCGAAAATGGAAGAAGGAGACAAGGTGTTTGATGGATAGTATAAGAGGCACTCTAGGGTTTGGCTCACTTCAAATTGGATGAAGGTCATTCCTAGGATTTATGCACCTAAGAGGAGATAGGTAGGATTCTTAGTCAAAAATGATTAAGAGAGACTAAGGAAATATAAAGGCACAAAAGACTCATTTTATATTAATTTTCAAAGTAATTACATGAAGCAATACCTAGGGTATATATAGATTAGGATGAGGTAAGGAGTACTCATTGAGGGTGACGACTAGGTCATAAAAGTGCGCACATTTCCATGCTAAATGTGATGGAAATGTGACACAAATTCATGCCACATGTAACCCTAAATGTGATGCCTACTTGGTGGCCAATGATGGAATATTTGGCTTGGTTAAGCTACAACTAGGTGCATGATAAGACCGTGCAATTTAGGTGTCATCCTCTTGGGCCTAAGCCTTGCCAAGTCCAAACATAAATCCAATGCTCACCAAAAATACGTCTAGGCTTAGTCTCCAACCCTAATAAAATATCCTAGTTACAAAATAAAATCTTATAATCTAAGACACCTCAAAATACAAGGATAAAATGAAAAATTAAAAATAAAGACAAAATAGGAATAAAAAAATAAATCATATACTAACAAGGTTTAGGAGAGTGATTAATACTTTATAACCATGAAGAGCATATTTCTAGGAGCGTTAACTTCCCTTTCTTCTTCTAATCTCCTAGTCATAGACCTAATAATGAGTCTCACATGTATCTTCAAGGATGGTTATTCCAAATGCTTATATTATCAACATTGGTGATATTGTTCAGGTTCTAGTGGAGTACCACTATAAAGATTGAAAATTTGAAATTTATACCGACTTTCCAACCAGTTTATGAATTATTTTATTATCCCTTTGTGGAGAGAAATTTTCAATTAAGGATTGGGTCTGTTGTGCAGGTTTGGAGCAGTGATGCATATGAGAGTGTGGAACACAGAGTGGTGGTCAACTCTGAGAAAGAAAGGTTTTCCATTCCATTCTTCTTCCCTGCACACGAAACTGAGGTCAACCCTCTGGAGGAGTTGATAAATGAGCAGAACCCTTCAAAATATAGGCCATACAAATGGGACAAGTTTCTCATCCATAGAAAGAATACCGATTTCAAGAAACAAAATGTGGAGAATCTTCAAATTTATCATTATAAGCTTGCTTAAAAATAGTATAATGGAAGTATAATTTAGTTTATGTATATATTGGGTATAATGTGTTGAAGCAGAATGATACAGGACAGTGCTTGTGATATGAGACACCAATTGAATTTGCTGCTAAAAGTTAATGGCGTGTATTATCTATAGAAGTATCACCGAATAAAAGAAAATTAAATACCACTTATCAAGTTCATCACAAAATTTGAAATTACGTTAGTCTTTAAATTTTCCTGTTAGTTTTCTCTTTCCTTGTGAACTGTAAAGTGTAAATTATTTCTTCATTATAAAGTAGTTATCCTTCTTCGTCATCATTTGTTTAAATTAACTTGCATAAATTACATTGAAGAAAGGTTCAAACAAGTTTTACACCACTGTTTATGAGGTTGATGTACTTCGAATCATAGTTTATATTATTACATAATTAAACAATAGCAAGCGTCCAAAAATAGTTTGTGGAACTTTCATTCAGTGGCATTTTGCTTGGATGCTGAGTCTGAAGCCAATAAATTATGTATTGGTTGCAAGAATTTGGATGCATTTATCTATAAGCCAAATTTCAATCACTTTCAGAGCTTTCTTTTTTTAAAATTAAATAATTAAAGCAAACAAATCCATTTTTCTCCTATAATCTTTTTATTACTTCAAAAAATGATGGTACTTCCATAATACTTTTTTGTTTACAGATTTTGACCATCAATTTTCTTTTCTTTTCTTTTTGGAGAGCACATATTATCGTTTATTTTACTGAGAAAAGCCCTTCACTAAAGTGAGAAAAGAAACAAAGATATAGAAAAAGTGATGAACAACTCCCGGCAAATCGATATACAAATTGAGAAAACCAAAGTAACTAGAGTTAATATATACCTTTCTTCATAGTTAGACTATATTTTCTTTTTTAATTATTTGGAGTAGTCATTTACATTTTCTCTCCCTGTCTTTTTTGATTTCAAGACTACTTAGTTGAAGGCAACCTAGCCTATCTGCACATGAATCAGCTAATTGCTAACATCTTTAGAGTTCAACCATTTACTTATAACTTTCTGTGAATGTCAATTTATATGTGATGTCATGAATTCTTATTCTAAAATTTTGAATCAGCATTTCTTACAAACACAGGACACGTGGTAGCATAACAGAAACCGGTCCAGGTTCAATGCACATAGTCTCTGTTATACGTGTACGGTGTACTCAATGTTCATCTTCAAAATTGTATTTGCACCACATATAACAATAGAAGTTTAAGTTTAAGTTAGTTGGGTCACCAGGACTCACCATGTTGTAGTAGTCCTCATGGCTCACTTAATGCTTATAGGTAATTACATATTATCTAGCAAAAAGAGGTTCTCCCACTAGGAGCTAGATTCAAATTTACATCCTTATTATTTGCAGTGAAATTCGTTTGAGTCCTTTTTTTTCAAACTAGCAAAGTTTCCGTTTAAGATACGTGACAACTAGAATTTTATGTGAACCTTAAACGAATAAAAGATCAATGAAACAAATCTATAAAATTAGTAGAGATCCCATTCCATATACTTAGCATGCACAAATTTCCAAATATTTGTCAACAGTTATTGTAAAGTGGGTTTCATGCATGCACACATTTAGATAAATTGAAGGACAACATATATATTGATGATAGAAATCATGACTAGTTTACTTCCAATAATTGTTGGATTACAAACATAATGATCCTGAGAAGCAGTTATGAAAAACAAATGAACTACGAAACTACACTATATTAAACTAAGATAAAACTATTCTAAGAAAAGGTTAGAAAAAGGGTAACCAAGAAATCATACTTAGCAATCTCGTACACGAGAGCCATATGAGGGGACAGTGAGTGTTTATGAGAGTTCTTAAGCATGATTTTCCAACCTCTTAAAATGAGATTGCCTCACCTATTTATAGAATTTTCGTGAGAGTGATTAATCTTGTATGAGTTTGACGTGATATGTGTAACCGTTCCCCACTACGTGACATGAATAACCTCTCTTAACCGCTTTTAACTTCTGGAAACTACCTACTATGTTTCTTGATTCTCGAATGTTTTCTTCGAGAAACAATTAATACGTATTAACTTCCTCGATGTATAATTACCCCGATTTTCACGTATTTGTAACTTCCTTGAACCGTTCCTGACTACTTGTAATCACCTTTCTTCGATTTGTCAAAAAAATCTTCAAAAATCTTTTAATTATTTCGAGACCTTCTAATTTTACACCAACACTTATGTAATATGAATCTTATCCTTATTGGACCAACCTAAATCGACACATAAAACTTTCTGTATCTAACATCTATTGAACAAAAAAATAAAAAGATAACCACCACCACAATGCGAGAGGAAGACCCTGCTTTTCTCCAGGCACCAGAACGAAGGCTATTACAGAGATACAATTAGAGAGAAAGGAACTAGATTGAGCAATTCAACTTTATTGAATGAATTGAAAAATAAATGATACAAGGGTTTTATGGTGAAGTTTTAGAAACTATTGTCGAGCTACTTCTAACTGTATTAACAACCTAAATTATTATCCATAACGCGTAACTGAGGAGGGTGACCATCAGTTATAATATGAGGTTGCTACAATATGAGCATATGATCCTGTTTCGGTAAGCCCCCAGATATGATTATCGCACGCGCAGGGGGGCAAATCGACAAATTTGAACTACAATGGGCTCGCAAGGCTCATTCTCACGTGCGCGAGCCCACTACCCATTGCTTGCCTCTTTGGAAGCTTAAGGAGCACTTTAATATATAAAGGCTCTACATATAGGTGGACCAAACAATGTGGGACTATTTCCTTTTGAAATATCACATATATGTGCAACAGAATTCGTTTATGGATTCTTTTTATTCGAACTAGCACGAGAAGCGTTTCAATTTAGGTATGCCACGTTTTGAATGTTAAGGAATAAGAAAGAGATGGAGTAGAAAGATTAATAATTACTTATTTCTAAATATTCATCAATGATTAACAAGAAATAATGTTCAAGCATATAAATACTCAGATAAATAGAATAAACAATAAATTATTAGTAATACAAATTATGATTCACTTTGCATAATGTTCAAGCATTACAATATTAAAGTCTAGAACTACGTGATTAAAAGAAGAAAACTACACTAATCATAATCCTAGAAAGAGAAAATAAATGTAGCCGAGAAATGATCATACCCAGAAGCAATTCTATGCACGAAAGCCATATGCGCAGGCGGTGAGTGCTTGAGAGTTTCAAGTATGGTGTTTCCGACCTCTTTTGAGGGGGCATGATTCCATATTTATAGATTTTACTTGAGAGCGGTTAATTCTGTATAGATGAGTCATGGGTGTGTAATCGCTGACCACTACGCTTATTTCGTGGAATCCATATAACTTCTCACAACTGTCCCTTCCACGTTCTTTCTTCGACCAAATTTTGATAACTGCCTTAATGTAACTGCTTAACTGCTCAGAGAACCCTCCACCTCTTACGTTTTTCGATCAATTCTCGAGTTCGTATATTTAAGGCTTCTAATACTTTCTTGATAGGTACCAATTTGTTTGTCTTTCTTTCGAGTAGGTGTAACTTTTGAGTGATATAATCTTTCGAGTAACCCCAACAGATCCACAAGCATATATGAACTTTTAACTTTTAAGAATTTTTCTAAAGAAAAATATTATTTATTTTTAGTAAAAAAAATTCTTAAAATTTCTTCTAAATTATATCGTTATTAGTTGCTTGTAACATTTGAACTCCAGATCTTGCAACAAGTAATTTAACCACTCATGTTCACAGGTGTTGAATCTAATGCTCGATATTCCTCCTCTAAGGAAGACATGGCCAAATGATTGCTTCTATGAACGACAACTGATCATATAGAGTCGTCGAGATAGGAGCCATAGCCACGGGGCATGAGCCGTCTGGTATCAGGGAAACCTGCCCATTCTTTTTTTTTTGTTCGTCCCTGGAGTATCCACCGCCGAAAGCAGTGACTAATCTCCTCGCTACGTTGGAGGCACCTCAAAGGGTGGGATAGTTGGCCCCTAAACCTGCCCATTCTGTGTCAATTTGCAAGGTTTGATGATTTTTTATTTATTTTATATTTACTAAAGAAATGTTTGTCAAGAAAAGCTCGTTATATTTTTATTTATGGCATTTATGCGTAGAGATAAAATCTGTAATACAAAAATTTAAATATTCACTAATATTTTAGCATGTATAATATACAGACTAAAAATATTTATTATATAATAAATTTTAGGCTTAAATATATTTTTAGTCCTTTAAATTTAAGACAAATTTGTGTTTGGTCCCTCAAATTTAAAATTGTTGTTTTTAGTCCATGTAATTTTCAAAAATCTTGTTTTAGTCCCTTAGATCACCAATAACATATTTGAAAGTGACTAATTAAGACAGTTATACAATATTAACCAGATTTAATGTGATATTTTCACTAATAGGGACACCAATAGGTAAATTTTATGCAATAATGTTTGATAAATTTCTTAACAAAATTTGAATATAAGAACTAAAATAAGATTTTTTAAAATTACAGGGACTAAAAACAATAATTTTAAATTTGAGGGACCAAAAACAGATTTACCCTAAATTTGAGGGACTAAAAATATATTTAAACCTAAATTTTATATTGTAACATAATATTATTTTTATTTATTGATAATTTATTTTAAAAATATTAAATTTATAAATAATTTTAATAAATAAAAAAATTGAATTAGATACAAAGTTAATAAAATTCCTAAGAAGCCTTTTGTTAAAGAAAATTTTTTAAAAACGTTCTCGCACAAAACAAAAGTTCGTATTTAATATATAAGGGTTGATAACATCATATTCTAAAAAGAAGAAACAAATCTTAAAATAATTAAAAAGAAATTGATAATATCTTTAAATTTAAATATTTGAAACATAAATGACATATTTAAAAAAAAAACTAAATTATTTCCTTATTTTTAATTAAAGAATATTCTCAATGCTCTTTTCTCCCTAAATATCTTTTAACATTCAATTTGAATTTTAAATTTGAAATCTAACTTATTTATTTATTTATTTATTTATTTTTGGTAAATCTTTCTTATTTATTATGATGCTTGTTTTCGTCTTTTTATTTGAGTTTTATCAATATCTTTCTTGTGTGGGACCACCACAATATTTGACCTAAGTTTCGCCTTCTATGCATTTATCTTTTTTTTTTTTTTTTTTCAATTTTAGTTTCTTTGTTTCTTGTGGGTTCCAAGGTAATAACATTGAACCTTTAATAAATCTTAGAAAGTGATTTTTCATCATCTTTGTTCTCCTCCCGAATATCAAGTTTCTTCAAAATATGTGCAATTTTGTGCTATTTATCAAATTTTGGCCCTTGTTTTTTTCTTCTTCATCTATGATCAACTTCTCTTTCAACAAACCTAAAACAAAGTTCTTGTCTTTCATCTAACATTGTAACAATTGTCAATAAGCCAAGTTGGTTGTAATTAAATTATGACATTGTAAAAAATTATTTTTGTTGGAATAAAAATAAGGTTCCATACAATTATTAGGATACAAAAAATGTATCACATCATTAAAACAATAAGAGAAATAAGAGTTAATTTATAAAGCACCCACATACTTAAATAGTTGAGAGGCCTTTTGAGTAATAATCAAAAGCAAAACTATAAGGACTTAGGCCTAAAACAAACAATATCTTATCATTGAGAAGTTGTGTATGCAAATATCCCCTATAAAAATAAGATATAATATAGCCCTCTCTTCTTGATAAATATATCTTCTCAGAAAAATACTATAACATAATCCTAACAGTTCTCATCCATATTCTTGTTGATTCTCAACAGTGTTGGTCTCTTCTTGTTGTTGATGAGAATTGAGTATTTTTTTTTTCTCATATGTCCTAATTGACCACACTCGTAAATTGTACATTAGGACTCCACTGACATCTTTTTTTGCAATAAGAGCATTGTAGAAAAGATTTTAGTGTTATTATTTTGGTTTTCCTTTTGGAATAATTTCTTCTTATTTTTGTCATCATTATTTTACCATTTGGCAAAATATATACTTTCTATAATTTCTTCTTCTCTCAGTAAGTCTTCTTTGTTCTGGTGCATTCTGCTAGAGTGATCTCACACTGATCCTTTCTGTTCTCCAAGGAGGATATAGAAGTTTCATATCCTTCAAGTATAGTTACTAGAATTTTTTCTACAATTCAAAAATTAGAAAATTGTATGCCTAATAATCTTACCTTATTAGTAGTGTCAAATAATTTATTCAAGTATTATTTTATCGTTTCATACTCTTGTATTCTTTATAACTCGAATCCCTTCATTAAATCAAATACTTGCATGCTTTGAATTCTTTCATTTCTTGCATATTCTTCCTCTACATAATTCCAAATTATTCTCATCATTCTAAGAGTCGTGATTTTAAAGAAAATAGTTTGTGAAACACTGACAAATAGATATGTCTCTTCATTTACCTTCTTTTCTTTTTTGATTTACTTTTTATCTAAACCATGAAGAGATTGTCTAACAACATAAGAATATCATAATCTCCTTTTATGATTTCTCGTAAATCTAAGTCCTCTAAGTATGACTTCATCCTCGTAGTTCAAAGATCATAGTATTTTCCATTAAAGATAAAAGGAACAATTTGTGAAAAACTTCTTTCAACTGTCATTCTATAAAAACCTTGGCTCTTGATATTAATCAAGCTTTTTTTTTTTAACTTTGTAGATAAATTTTTGTTGAAGAGGAGCTTTTTTTTATTATTATTTATGGGTTCATCTATAGAACAAAATTGTAATTAAAAAATTCGAATACGGATAGCATCTTATTATAAAAAGAGGAAGGAAATCTTGAAATAATTAAAATTAAATTGTTAATATTTTTAAATATAAATATTTAAAACATAAATAACATATTTAAAAAAACAAGTTATTCTTTCTTTTGAAATTAAAAATAGTTAGCCATATTTTAAAAAATGATAAATAAATATATAAAAATAAAAATTCTTTATCGGATTTTTTACTATCATTTTTTAATCTTAAATAAGAGAATAGAACCTTCCCTTCATATAAAAAAAATGTTTGATGGATATTAAATTTTATTCAATATCTAGAGTTTTAATATTGTGTAGTTTAATTTAGTCCTACATCTAATATTCTTAAGGGACTTTTCTTTCTATATTACTATATAATTAACACCTTGTAATGCTTTTATTCACACCAAAAGAAATAAAATACTCCCTAGTGTAGCTATAGATGTAGGTCCATACATTGTGTGTCGAACCACATTAAATTCTTGTATTGTTCTCTCTCTCTCTCTTTTTTATTTTCTTTATACGTTTTGCTCCTAAAAATTGGTATTAAGGGCCTATATCTTAGTATGCTCTATAGTTTCAACTTTGTTTGATCTTGCACATTAGAAAAGATCTAGTTTTCTCTACAGGAGACTTAGTTTAGAGAAAGGAGTGGGAGCTTTCTTAGTTTAGAGAAAGCAACAGGAGTGATGGCACCAGAAGAAGGGAAGGTGAAGATTGAGAAGTTTGATGGTAGAGACTTCAGATTCTAGAATATGCAGATAGAGAGTTATCTCTATTAGAAGAAGATGTATCAACCCTTAACAAGAAAGAAGTCAGATGACATGAAGCAGACAAATTGGGAGCTATTAGATTGACAGACTCTTGGTGTGATCCAATTGACATTGGCCAAGAATATTGTGTCCAACATGTACTAGAAGTCATCTGCAACCAACAAAATATATTTAATACGCCGATTAGTCAACCTCGGAATGGGAGAAGGTAATTCTGTGACTAATTATATTAATGAATTCAATACAATTATTGCCCAGTTGGGATCAGTGCAGATCAGCTTTGAAGATGAGGTGAAAGCATTGATTCTGCTATCATCTTTGTCGAATAGTTGGGATGCAACTATTACTACAATTAATAGCTCTGCAAGAAGTAATAAATTGAAACTTGATGATATCGGTGACTTGATTTTAAGAGAAGATGTTCACAAGAGAGATTCAGGGGAGTCTTCTAGTTCTGTTTCCAGTTCAGCATTGAACATCAAAAATAGAGGATGGAGTAGTCAGAAGGGTTAGATTCAAAGTCGAGGCAAATCAAAATCTAAAAGAAGATGGCAAATAAAAACCCAAAAGGATATCCTTTGTTGGAATTGTCACAAAAGAGGTCACTTTACCAATCAATGCAAGGCTCCAAAGAGGAAAAACAAAAACAAGAAGCAAGATGATGATGAATTCGCAAATGCAGCAACTAATAAAAGTGCATATGCATTAATTTGCAGTTTAGATAGTTCTATTAACTCATTGATTATGTACTCGGGTGCATCGTTCCACACTACACCTTCCTCAAAATTATTATCTAACTATGTTTTTGAAAATTTTGGAAAGGTTTACCTTGCATATGGCAAATCTCTTAATATTATATTGTGGGAAGATGTGATATTGACATCAAAACCTCTAATGCGACCTTGTGAACATTGCACAATGTAAGACATATTCCTACCTTAAAGAGAAACCTAATATCCATAGGACAGTTGGATGATGAAGGAGCTACACTAGGTGAAAAGCAGATGAATTTATTGTTTACAAGTGATGTATATTAAACTCTAAGTAGGGGAATTGTTAGTATTATGTAGTTTGATTTAGTCTCACATCTAATATTTTTAAGAGACTTTTCTTTCTATATTATTATATAAACAACACCTTATAATACTTTTATTCACACCAAAAGAAATAAAGCACTTCCTAATGTAGTCGTGAACGTAAATACACATATTGTGTGTCGAACTACATTAAATTCTTTTATCATTTTTTATCTCTTTTATTTTTTTTATACGTTTTTCTCCTAATATAGAGATGAAAAATTTTAAAATATAATTATAATAAATAATATTTTAATTTATACGAGTATAGTAAATAATAATATAGTACGATAAAAAGATAAATAAAAAAATTATTAAGTCTCAATAAAATATTTGATATATAAAAGAAAAAACGCTTAAAGTATATCTAAATTTTCTTCCATCTCATTTGCATCCAATATTTTTTTCTCCCTTCAATTTCTATTACATCATTTGCCATATATTTTGTTTTCTTTGTATTCTTTTATTTCATTTTATTTTTTCTCTCGATCTTTCCCTGCTTTCTATCCATACACCTACTATTTTGTGACTCATAAAAGTGCTTCTTTACAAATCCTTCCAAATCGTGTGGCAAAGTGTTCACTCAATCACCAGCCATGGGAGAGGTTGAGCCAGCTTTCATTCAAGACCCACAGCAGAGGCCAAAACTCTCCATCATCCAAGCCGAAGGAATACCCATTATTGATCTCTCTCCAATAACCAACCACACACTTTTAAATCCATCTTCCGTTGAAGGCTTAGTGAAGGAGATAGGAAGTGCATGCAAGGAGTGGGGCTTCTTCCAAGTAACCAACCATGGGGTGCCCCTCTCTCTAAGGCAAAGGATTGAGGAAGCTTCTAGATTGTTCTTTGCGCAGAGTCTGGAGGAGAAGAGGAAGTACAGAAGAGATGAGATATCTCCAACTGGTTACTATGAAACAGAACACACCAAAAACGTTAGGGACTGGAAAGAAGTCTTTGATTTTCAAGCCAAAGACCCCACTTTCATTCCTCTCACTTCTGATGAACATGATGATCGACTCACTCACTGGACTAATCTATCACCTCAATACCCTCCACACTTCAGGTAATTCATCTGAACTTCATGATAATTACAAAGGAAGTGTTCTTTTTTCTGTTTTGATTTAAACTGTAGATTGACACTTACACTAGTTGTTGTGTTCAAAACGATGTGAACAAGAGCAGGGATATAATACAAGAGTATATTCAAGAGATGGAAAAGCTGTGCTTTAAGTTGTTGGAGCTTATAGCTTTGAGCTTAGGCCTCGAAGCAAAGAGGTTTGAAGAATTTTTCATGAAAGATCAAACTAGCTTTATTAGACTCAACCACTACCCTCCATGCCCTTACCCTCACCTAGCTCTAGGTGTTGGTAGACACAAGGACCCTGGTGCCTTGACCATTCTTGCACAAGATGAGGTTGAAGGACTTGAAGTGAAACGCAAAGCAGATCAAGAGTGGATAAGAGTGAAACCCACCCCACATGCTTATATTATCAACATTGGTGATATTGTTCAGGTGAAAGTTCATTACCACAGTTAGTTGGCTGATGCCACAGACACTTGATCTTATACTACTTAATAAGTTTTCTCATATAAAGACTAAAAATTTGAAATTTTACTGATTTTTAGCCAGTTTATGAATTATTTTACCCCTTAATTAGTGGGGAGGAAACTTCACATGAGGAGGATTGGTGTTGTTTGTGCAGGTTTGGAGCAATGATGCATATGAGAGTGTGGAACACAGAGTGGTGGTCAACTCTGAGAAAGAAAGGTTTTCCATTCCATTCTTCTTCTTCCCTGCACATGACACCGAGGTCAGGCCTGTGGAGGAGCTGATAAATGAGCAAAACCCTTCGAAATTTAGGCCATACAAATGGGGCAAGTTTCTTGTCCACAGAATGAACAGCAATTTCAAGAAGCAAAATGAGGAGAACATTCAAATCTATGATTATAAGATAGCTTAAAGCGTACAATAGCATTACGCCAGCACCATTTAACTTATGCAAATAAATTGGGTATGATATGCAGCACCGTTGATCCAAGACCACGTTTCTGATATGAATGAGATTTACTACTAAATCTCCTAGTGTGCTTTATGTATGCAAGTATCACTGAATAAAATAACTAAATTAATACCACTTATCACGGTTATCTCAAAAATTTAAATTGCATCATTTTACCCCTTACACAGTAGCCTTCTTATGAGTTTTGGTGGATCAATAATGATGAATACCATTTATCATGTTTATCTTCTTAAGAACTCATCCCTAAGCATAATCGTTTTTTCACATCTTTTCGTGCCCAGGTATATTAGAAGACTCTTAACACATTATTCATGGTGTGGTCAGACTTTAACTCTGGTTCAATCTTTACGTATCACATGTATCAATCCTTTGGATGAGCTGATAAATGAGAAAAACTCTCAAAATATAGGCCATACAAATGGGGCAAGTTTATCATCCATAGAAAGAATTGCAATTTCAAGAAACAAATATGTTGAGAACCTTCAAATTTATCATTATAAACTAGCTTAACTTTAAAGTTAGTATAATTGGGATGTAATGTGTTGAAGCATATTGAATCAACACGCTTCTGATATGTGACAGCAATGAATTAGCAGATAAAAGTTACTAGTGAGCATTATGTACATAAGTTTAGCGTAATACATCATTATGGATTTATAATTAAATTTCCGGAGTTAATTTATGATGTCTTGAAACTAACACAAATATAACAATTCATGAAAATTTTACTAATTTCTGGACTAAATATAAAAATTATTAATAAAAATCAAATATTTAATTACAACTTCTTTTAGTTCGGTGACTAATTAAAAATTTTCAAAAATTCATGGACCTACTAATATATTAAACCTTAATGTATCAGCAAATGAGCAAATAAAAGAAAACTGAGTACCATTTACAATGTTCATCATAAAACTTGAAATTACATTGCTCTTTAAATTTCCTCTTTTTAATATTTGCTCCTCGAGTATCTTTTAGTTGGATTCTTAGGGATTTTAAACTATTTCTTTATTATAAAGTAGTTGGCCTTCTCCATCATCATTTGTTTAAATTAACTTGCATAAAACTACATTGCAAAAAGGAACGAACAAGTTTTACATCCTTCTGTTTATGGAGTTGATGTACATCAAATCATAATTGATATTATCACATGATTAAACAATAGCAAGCGTTAAAAAATATTTGTGGAACTTTCATTGGCTGTTTTTGTTGGGTTGCTGAGTCTGAAGTTAATAAATTATGCATTGGCTGCACGAATTTGGATGCCTTTATCTATCAGCCAAATTTAACTAGAGTTAATACATATCCTTTTTTATAGTTGGACTTCTTTCCTTTTTTAAATTAGTTGGAGGAATCATTTTTTTATATTTTTTATACTTGATTTCAAGACTATTTGCTTTGAAGGTTACGTATCATATGTGCACATGAATCAGCAAACTGCTAACATCTTCAAAGTTCAAACATTTACTAATAACTTTCTGTGAATGTCAATTTATGTGATGTCATGGATCCATATTCTAAAATTTTGAATTACCATTTCTTACAAACACAGGACACGTGGTAGCATAACAGAAACCAGTCCAGGTTCAATGCACATAATCTCCCTTTACCGTATTTGCTATACATAAAACTTTCTACCATGTTTGACAAATAACTATGTTTCTTAAGCATGTAGTCAAGATACATATCTTAAGTTCATAAAGATATTAGAGTTTCACTCTCGGCCAAAGATTATCCTGAGTTCATAAAACTTTCTGTATCTTACATCTTCTGACCGATCAAACAAATAAAAGTTCAACAAGCACTACCATGGGAGAGGTAGACCCTGCTTTTGTTCAGGCACCAGAACACAGGCCAAAATCTTCTGTGATCGTGGCTGAAGGAATCCCTCTGATTGATCTCTCTCCCATTAACTACCAAAACCAAGGCACCACCCCAGTTTCTTCTATCCAAGGCTTAGTTAAAGAAATAGGCAGAGCATGTACGGAGTGGGGTTTCTTTCAGGTGATCAATCACAAGGTGCCTTTGGATAAACGGAAGAGAATTGAAGAAGCTTCAAGAAAGTTTTTTGCACTTAGTTTGGAGGAAAAGCTGAAGGTGAGAAGGGATGCTGTTAACGTGCTGGGGTACTTTGAAGCAGAACACACCAAGAATGTTAGGGACTGGAAAGAGATCTATGATTTCAATGTGCAGGAACCCACTTTTATACCACCTTTAGTTGAACCAGATGATGACCAAAACGTTCAGTTCCAATGGGATAACCGGTGGCCTCAGAATCCTCCAGATTTCAAGTAATTCAATTCCCACAATTTCATTAGTTAATATTTTCTGTTATTAAATTTTTTAGTGGAGGTATTATAATCTGATCAAGACTCTAGATTCAGTGGTTGTAAAGGCTTGTTTTGGAACAGAGAATTTATCTAGTGCTTCCAAAATCAATTAGTGTTGATGTTATATAATGTTTGATTAGGAGAAATTAGTGATTGGATGTCATAATATTGTGAGTTATATCTATAGATCAAATAAATAAAAAACATTAGAATTGGTCTCATAATAGAGAATTAGAGAAGTATACACAAGATCCTAATGTTACTATTATTATAATTGCTACAGATTAAAAAAAGAATTAATCTCAACTAAACTACTTGAAACTTTTACCACCTGTTCAACAATATTTAATTGTTGATAGAGTATGTAGTGGGATAAAGCTAGGATATTAATCCTAGTTTGACAAATACGAGCTCAATGAAACGGGGCTTTTAATAATTTTGTATACTAATTATGCAAAATATATACTGATCCGTTACCAGAGAAGCATGCCAAGAATATGCAGAAGAAGTGGAGAAAGTTGCTTACAAGTTGATGGAACTTATTGCACTGAGCTTAGGCTTAGAGGCAAATAGGTTCCGCGGCTTCTTCACACATAACACTAGCAATATCAGACTCAACCATTATCCACCTTGCCCTTACCCTCAGCTGGCTCTTGGTCTTGGACGCCACAAGGACACAGGTGTCTTGACTGTGCTTGCTCAAGATGATGTTGGTGGTCTAGAAGTTAGGAGAAAATCGGATGGAGAGTGGATTCGAGTCAAGCCTATTTTCAATTCCTTCATCATTAATGTTGGTGACATGATCCAGGTATCAAATCTTTGCTAGCTAATTTTTATCTTCATCAAATTTATTTCACTAGGTGTTACAAATTACAAACAACATTTTTTCTTTTCATCCTTTATTCATTAGTGAAATAATCAGCCACTCATTTATAACATTTTTTAACTTAATAAAAAAATAACACTTTTTAAACCATAGAAGCAATCTGTTCACATACCTCCTTACATAAATATGATGTGCATATAATTTTATCACTTAATGTGATTTTATTTCTTTAAGTATGTTCTCAAAATATATATACACACAACAGATTCTTAGAATAGTGGATTTAAGTCTAACTCAACCCTATAAAATCGGCTTGTAAGGTGAGGGTTGTTTCCCACTTATATACTATTTAATTGCCTAATATCTAGTTGATGTGGAACTTGGGTTTTTCTCAATACACCCCCTCACGTCCAGCATTATTGGGCTTGGTACGTGCATAAATGGTAGGTGACCCTTTTTTAATGATCTAGGATTGGCGAGACTTGAATACACCCCCTCATGCCCATGGTGCATGTATCAATGATTGGTGGGTAGCCCATTTTTAAGAATCTAGGATAGCTCTGATACCATAAAATGGAAAGAGAGTAGAGAAGAAAAGAGAATGACTGAATAATACACTTCTATTAGTCTCAATGTTGTTACATTCTACAAGCCTCTACACACTTATATACAATAAGGGTCAGTCAAAATAAATCCCAAAACAGAATTAACAGAAACTAACAAAACTTAACTAACAACTGATGTTATTTTATTCTTCAATACCCCCCCACAAGCTGGAGAGTAGATATTTAAAACTCCTAGCTTGGAAAGAAGAAAAGAAAAAGGAGTAGGATCAAGAGGCTTGGTAAATAGGTCAGGATGTTGCTCTTTGCTATTAATAGGAAGAAGGTGGAAAAGTTTGGCAAGAAGTTTCTCCCTAACCAAATGGCAGTCAATGTCCAAATGCTTGGTTCTTTCATGAAATACTGCGTTAGCTGCAATATGTCTAGCTGATGCACTATTACAATAGAGAAGTGTTGGTTGAATATGGGAAACTCCAATATCATCCAATAGGTAAGTCAGCCATTGTAATTCACATACAGTAGCACCTAAAGCCCGATATTCAGCCTCAGAAGAGGATCTTGAAATTGTAGGTTGCTTCTTGGATTTCCATGAAACTAAAGAATTCCCTAGGTAGATGCAATAACTTGTGATAGATTTTCAAGAATCTGGGCATGTGCCCCAATCTGAGTCACTAAATCCCTTTAGTTGTAAAGTAGAATTGTTGGGATAAAGTATGCCTTGTCCTAGAGAACCCTTTAAGTATCTGAGGACACGAATACAAACCTTGTAGTGCAACTCAGTTGGATTGCTCATGAATTGACTGAGTTGTTGGACAGTAAAGCTGATATCTGGTCTGGTATTGGTAAGATAGAGTAATCTCCTGACTAGCTTTCTGTATCCAGTAGCATCTGCATAAGATGGGCTGTCATCATGAGCTAGTCTAGTAGTCTTGACCATAGGTGTAAGGGTTGGTTTAGCTGCAAGCATACCAAAGTCAGAAATTAGATCTAAAGTGTATTTTCTTTGAGATATGGTAAGACCCAAATTTGATCTTGCCACTTCAAGACCAAGGAAGTATTTGAGACTCCCAAGATCCTTAATCTTAAAATCGTTGTCAAGACTTTGTTTGACAAAAGCAATTTCTTTTGCATCATTTCCCGCCAATATTAGATCATCAACATAAACTAAAATGATGATACACTTAGAATTGAATTTCTTAATAAAAAGGGAATGATCATAACAAGATTGTCTATATCCAAGATTAAAAAGAAAAGTAGAGAGTTTAGCAAACCATTGTCTATTGGCTTGTTTCAAGCCATAGATAGATTTGTGTAATTTACAAACCATTGTAGAATCTGAAACAGCAAGTCCCTGTGCAATTTCCATGTAAACTTCTTCAGTTAAATCACCATGTAAAAAGGCATTATTGATGTCAAGTTGGTGAAGAAATCAATTCTTAGTAGAGGCAAGAGCAAGGAGTAGCCTCACAGTAGTCAATTTAGCTACCGGAGCAAAAGTGTTGAAATAATCCAATCCTTCAGTTTGATTGTACCCTTTGGCCACTAATCTGGCCTTATACCTTTGCAAGGTTCCATCCGAATTATATTTGATTTTGTAAACCCATTTGGATCCAATAACAGACTTTCCTATGGGTAAAGGGGTTAAAGACCAAGTTTTATTCATTTTTAGTGCAGCAAGTTCATCTTGTATTGCCTTAATCCAATAGAGAGATTGAGCAGCTTGTTGATAGTTTTTGGGCTCAACTTCAGTATTGATGGAAAGACTGAAATTTAAAAACTCAGGATTTAGAGAGTGATAAGATAAAACAGAGGACAAGGGGTACCTTATATTGTTAGAATCATGAATTTCAATGTTTTGTAAAAGATTGTAGTGATAATCAGTCAGGTAAGTTGGTGCTTGCTTATGCCTAGTTGATCTTCGAAGGTCAACGTTTGGAGGTGTAGGGGAACCAAGCTCACCTTGAGTGACTTGAGGCATAACAGAACCAAGCTGAGTATTCACGTTGTAAAAAACTTCATCCTCCATAGGATAATTGTTGGGTAGATTAATATCAATTAATAGGAAATTAATATTCTCACTTACCTGAGGATCAACCTATTTATTAATGTCAAGAACCTTGTGAAAAGGAAATATATTTTCATAAAAAATCACATTCCTAGAAAGAAGAATTTCTCTAGTGATTAAGTCTAGAGCAATGTAACCTTTTGTACCGACTTTTATTCCTAGATAGACACATTTCTTAGCTCTAGGATCTAATTTATTTCTATGTTGAGTAAGTGTAGAAACAAAACACAAGCTGCCAAAGACTTTTAGATCAAGATAAGTCGGGGTTTTTTATTAAGAATTTCAAATGGTGATTTGCCTTTCAGCACAACAGTGGGTAATTTGTTTATTAGATGTATAGCATGAAGAACAACATATGACCAGTAAACATTAGGCAGATTGGAGTGAAATAATAAAGACTTGGCCACATTCAGAATGTGTCTATGTTTCCTTTCAGCCACAGCATTTTGTTGTGGTGTTTCCACACAAGATGTTTGATGTATAATACCTTGACTATTGTAAAAATCTGGCATGCGAAATTCTATGCCATTATCAGACCTCATAGTTTTAACTTTCTTTTTGTATTGAGTAGATATTAGAGAGATAAAGTTCTGGATAAGGGTCCTGGTTTCAAATTTAGCTTTCATAAGAAAAACCCAAGTGTTTCTACTGAAATCATCCATTATAGTTAAAAAATATTTATGACCATGGATGGAACAAACAGAAAGGGGACCCCAAATATCCATATGTATCAAATCAAAACAAGAAGCAATAGAGTTAATACTAATAGGAAAAGATAACTTGCATTGCTTTGCTAAATGGCAATAGTCACAGACAAGTTTGTGATCATGCTTAACATATGGAAATTGTCCTTTTATTTGTTGTAAAACAGAATCAAATGGATGACCTAGTCTATAATGCCACAAATCAAAATTGCAATTATTCACATTGTTGTTAGTGGAGGTTCGAGCAAAATTAATGATCATAGTCTCTGAAAATTTTTGCCTTTAAAGGATATACAAATTGTATTGAAGATTAGCATGACAATCATCAATTTGTTGTTGTGATCCTGGATATAACAACATAGCTTGTCAAAGACAATTTTACAATTGAAAGTTTTGTGATCTTGGATATAACATTGTAGTGAATTCAGGGATGTATAAAATGTAACATAGCTTGTAAGGTGAGAGTTGCTTTTCACTTATATACTATTTAATTGTCTAATCTCTAGTCGATGTGGGACTTGGGTTTTTTCCAATACACCCCCTCACGTCCAGCACTATTGGGCTTGGTACGTGGATAAATGGTAGGTGACCCTTTTTTAATGATGGCGGGACTTAAATACACTCACTCATGCCCATGGTGCATATATCAATGAATAGTGGGTAGCCCATTTTTAAGAATCTAGGATAGCTCTGATACTATCTTAGAATAGTGGATTTAAGTCTGACTCAACCCTACAAAACCAGCTTGTAAGTGTTATTTTCTACTTATATACTATTTAATTACCTAATCTCTAGTTAACGTGGGACTTGAGTTTTTCTCAATACAGATTAATGTTAATTTCTTAAGTATATAATATTTTGAGGGATTAATTTTTTTACTCTTTTGGGGATATATCTTGGACTCATCGAAAAAAGAGCATCTATATATATAGTAGGTTGCTATTGGAAGATCATAAATTAAATGAACAGAAAAATAGCTACTCGGCTAAGTTATAAATTGAGCAAACTCTGTATCAGACTATGCATATCAAACTGAACATACTATACAATGCACTGAGCAAAAGAAGCTATAAGACGATGCGAAAACAATAAAGGTGGTAAATTATAATCAGGAATCACACACAAAACGAAATAGGTATCGATATGATATAATTTGGTTAAGAACTATGACAGTTTTCCATAGTTTTGAATGCTTTGGAAGTATGGCAGCAAATGTTTAAATATTAAAGTTGGCAAACTTCTAATTAGGTAAATCAAAAAAACAAATTATAACCGAACTAAAAAGCCAAAATCATTTACTTGTAACTGCAATATGTTTTTTCCAGAAATAAACTTATAAGCAAAACAATAATTATATAAAATATAAAAATGATTTACTATAATAGTTGAAAAAAAATCTTAAATTTTAACACTACTCCTTAAGATTTTTCTTCAATACTTCAAGTTTTGATTTCAACTATCATTTACACTTTTTTATTTGAACATCTTCAAGTTCATAAGCATTTGCATGCAAAATACGAGTTTAACACCAATTATATCACTTGAAACAAAAACAATTGTAACTATCATAATTCATTTTCTATTTCTAAAGACTTTTTCATGAGAGTTATGACTGTTTTACCAATATTGTTGTTCTTTACAAAATTTATCGTTGAATTGATGAAAAGGAATGTAATAATTTCAACTAAGTCCTAGAAACCAAAAATCTTATATCCTTCATTGGTCATAGCAATGATCATGATTATTGAAGCTTTCATAATCAATAAAAAAAAGGATTAAACATAAATCCCCAAAAACTTTGAAGCTTTTCTCTTTCTCTTCAAGTTTGTTTTATCCAAGGATGGACACCCTCTCTTGAGAAGTTTTTGTTGTGAGTCCATTTGAATCATAATTTTGAGTCTCAAATGGCTTTAAAGCAATATGTGTAGCTTCTTTTTTTCTTCCATTTTATTGAGAAAAAAAAATTATCTTTCATTTTAATGGACATAAGTTCGTAAAAAGGGTCACATAAGGTGCATCTCATTTTTTTTAAATACAAAGATTTTTTTTTTCTAACATTTATCCCACACTCAATTTACTTCGATCTATCTCAAGTAAAAATAAAACATTTGAAATATATTTGATATCTTAAGGAGTTTCAACAATAACAAATTTCTTTACCTTTGACATCTATGTTTTCTCCATTACTTTTGATGTCTTTAGCATCATAAGTCATATAATTTATACACACACTATCTATAAATCACACCTCGTTGTTATTGCTTGTTAAATAGCAATTAGTAGCAAATAAATGTTTTTTCATATTGTTCTTCAAGCTCAACAATTTGGGTTTCTTATTCCAGTTAGTTTGCTTTATTTATGTAAACCTTCACATCCAAATATTGACCATAGACCCTACATTTAATCTTTGGCTTGAACCAACAAAAGTTTTATATGATTATTCTTCATACAGTGAGGATAAGGTGGAAACACATTTTTACAATATACTTTTTTATTGTCTTCTTCCTACTTTTTGTTTTTGTGTCATAAGAGCACCTTTAATTTTCTTCCATCCTCAAAAATTTTATATGTTTAACAATATTTTTAAAATCAGATCGATTATTAAATCGATTTAAATATTAATTTAATATTTAATAATTTAACTGTGATCAAATCAATATTAATAAAATATTATTATTAATGCAAAATAATATTAAATTATATACTTTCGTAATTTTATAAATACCAAAAATTGAATAAAAAAAATTATTTATAGGTTCATAACATCCAATGTATACATAAAAGTGAAATTAAATATAATATAATATTTAAGTTCAAAATTTAATAAAATATAACAACATTCACTAACAATAACAAGTTTACATCTCAAGTTAAAAGTGTCAAATTAATATAATTTAAATTATAAAAATTCAAGATATAAAAAATTATAAATTACATAAATAATTTATTCTTATTTAATTTTTTTACCAAATATGTATTTACATTTTTATTATAAAATATAAATTAAATTTTAAAAATTAAAATAAAAAAAGTTTTTTTATTAAGCATCTTCAAAAATCTGTCAATAAAATCTTTGACAGGTTAACTTTCTTTCATTTTAAATGTTTCAAACATTGTCCTTAAGCTCAAGACATGCATTTTCTTTTTCTTTTTCACTCCCTTAAAACTCCTTTCAACTTGTCACATGCTTGTTTACAATCTCAAGAGTCAAAATCTTGATAAATAAATTATCATATAGTGCTCCTTATATAATAGAAAATATTTTTCTTTCTTTTGTAACTTCATCATATTATAACTTTTTATTTGAGTTACTATTGGATTTTTTGGTGATGAAGGTGAATTACTTTCATTTACCACTATATCTCACAAATTCTGAGCTTTAAGATAAGTTTTTATTTTTACAACTATTGTTTACACCCGGAAGTAGAAGGTAAATAACTATCAAGTTGAAAGTTATTTTTGTATTTAAAGGTATTTTGTATTAATTTTTTTACTCATTTTTTTCACCTTATTTATTGTGTTTTCTCTCCCTCAAAACCTCTAGTTTTTCCTCCCACACATATCTTAAATATCAACAAAGCTCTTGATATCATGTTAAGATCATAATTGAAAAAAGGGTATAAGATTGGACAAAAAATAGTTATCAAACCCAGCAATAAATTGAGTAAACCATTTATCGAATTGAGCAAACTATGCATCGATTTAACAGACTACACAATAGACCATATACATTATACGATAACAGAAAAGTTGTGAATCATAAACTAAGAACCTCATACAAAAGAGAGCAAAATCTAATATAATATAAAAATGTAAACCATGACTAAACTAAAAAGTAAGCATCGCAACTATAACCTTTTTTTTTACATGACTAAACTAATGCAAGCAAAACACAAAATAGGATACACTTAAAAATGTTTTATTATGACAACTTCTAAAACAGTTCCGATTTATGAATTGGACTAATATCTAATAGAGAAAAGTGGTAAGTAAATATAGTGATCTTTATATTGTTATTATTATTACATGAACCAAAGTAATGAAGTTAATTTTGTTTTAATTAATGTTTTGCCCTATAGTTATTAATTACAGAATGGCTTTGTTTGTGAAAACAGGTTTGGAGCAATGATGCTTATGAGAGTGTAGAGCACAGGGTTATGGTGAACTCTGAAAAAGATAGGTTTTCTATTCCATTTTTTCTGAAACCAGCACTCTACACTGATGTGAAGCCCTTGGAAGAGCTGACAGACGATAGAAACCCTCCAAAATATACAACAGTCAACTGGGGCAAGTTCCGTACTGCAAGAATGCGAAGTAATTTTGCCAAATCCAATATTGAAAACCTCCAAATTTTTCATTTCAAGCTTCCCAGTAATTGAATCATAATCCATAAATTAAAGATCGTGTAAAATGTGAACTTGAGTTTGGAAGCTGAGTGTCGTAACCGGGATCACGACGGGATGACGCTAACATTTCTTTTCAATGGAGCTGTCACCAATATTCTATTTCAAGGGAAAAACATTGGAAAACCCTTTAAAAGATAATCTTTAAAATTAAAATTGGGTTCGGGAGTCGATTACGTGTAGGGAAGGTATTAGCATCCTACAACGCCTGTAAAAACAGTACCTTTAATTAATTGCGCAAAATTATATAAATTTATAAACATTTATTTTATTCCTCAAAAAGGTGTATACATATATATATCTCTTTTTTTTTAATATGAGAGATGTTTCTTTTGTATATTTTTTTTTTATTAAAAAAAAACATCATAAGGATTTAGGTTAGCAAATGGCTAATCAATAAACTCTCCCAATAACATGAAAGATAGAATTGTTATTCAATCAAATGTTATTGATCTTTATTTGTTGATAATAAAATATTTACATGATATTAAAGGGTAGAAATGTTACTCAATTAATATCATTAACCATAAAAATAATGTACATGTAAAGCAAAATTATATTTATGTTTTTATATTTTTATCTAAAGAAATAGGTTTTGCATAAAGATTCAAGTTAACAAATGGCTAATCAATAAATCTCTCCAATAACGTTAAAAATAGAAGTGCTACTTAATTAACGTTATTGGTTGCAACATATCTTTATTTTTTTAAAAAAAGAAATTTTGTACAGGAGAGTTTAAGTTAGCAAATGACTATCATTAAACCCCTATAACCAAATAATGCTAGAGATAAAAATGTTATTCAATTAACATTATTATTTGTGATATAATAAATATTTTTTAAACAATTATTTTAAAGACAACAAATCATATTCACTATGTACAAACAACAAACAAAAATAAATAAATAAATAAACAAAAAATAAACAAATAAAATAAACAAATAAATAAAAGAAAGAAGAAAAAAAAAGTTAAGAAAAGAACGATACCAAATGAGATCAATCTTCGAATATGATGATCAAGGTGTTTTTTGGCTACTCCATCAACAATAGGAGCTATGTCTTGGGTAGTTGGATAAAATTAATTCACATCTTTATTTATTTCTTATCACAAATGATCTAAATTACCTTATTTAGATTATTTAATAAGAAATAAATAAAGAGGGGCAACCATTTCAGCACAAGCATTCGGTCGATACAGCACAAGCATTTTGACCACTCCATCAAGCACAAATACTCAGTTGATCAAGCACAAGCATTCAACTACTTCAGCATAAGCATTCGGTCGATCCAGCACAAGCATTCGATCACTCCATCAAACATTGGCATTCGGTTGATCAAACACAAGCATTCAACCATTTCAGCATAAGCATTCTGCTAGATTGCTTTTTTGGGTTTTCAACCTAGCATGTCGCTCTGAATTTGCTTAGATCGCTTTTTCAGGTTTTCAATCTAACCATCTTTTTGTTTGTTTTGTTTTTTTTTTACCCTAATTTTTGCCTAGATTGCTCTTTTGAGTTTTCAACCTAGCGGGCCGCTCTAACTTTTGCCTAAATCGCCCTTTCGGGTTTTCAATCTAGCGAGCCTTCTTTTTTTTGTTGTTGGCCCTAATTTTTGCCTAGATTGTTCTTTCAAGTTTTCAATCTAGCGGGTCACTCTAACTTTTGCCTAGATTTCCCTTTTAGGTTTTCAATCTAGTGAGTGTTTCTTTTTTGTATATTTGGCCATGACAAACTGCATTCAACCTTTTCTCCTCAATGAGATTTAATTGACCCAAACGGGTTTGGACCCGTTCTGCTTCTCCTAATTTGGCTTCTGTTAATACTCTCAAAGATGGAATTTTAACATCAATTGGAAGGACCGCTTCCATTCCATAAACTAAGGTTTCATACAAAAGTGAGGTTGATGAAGTTATCAACATGTGTTAAACATGTTATAGAATTATGTTGGATGTAATTTGATTAATTTTCTATCTTTGATTGAGCTAATAAGATTTATGTATTTTTAGTTGTTTACTTTCGTTTGGAATTATGAGATTGAATAATTGTAACTATGTAACATGAGACTTTTACTTACTCATGAGATTGATGTATTTTAAGTTATTAATTATCTTGATTTTTATTATTATCTTAACAAAATTAACGTTAAATACAAATTCAAAATTAATATTTAATTTTTTTAATATTTTATTGACATTAAATATAAATTTAAAATTATTTGTAATATAATTTTTTAATTTCTTAAAAAATTTATAAATATCTATGAATACCCATAAATATCCATAAATATTCAAGAAATTCATGAATACCCACTTAATAAATACCTGCGCGGATATGGAGTGAGTATGAAACTAATTTTCATCTAGCGAGACGGGAACGGATTTACTATTACCCGCCCGTGGAACCTCATCGTCATCCCTAATATTTACCCAAGGGACGCATTAGTACGGGTGCGCTTTAGACTTCGACTCCTCAAACCTTATGCAACATGTTTCCTAAAATCTACAGCCATTTAAGCAAATACTACGACTCATTTACTCATAGTCATACTATTTTGTGTTCTGCCTTGTGGCCTACTCTGTATTTTTTTTTACCTTAAACAAAAATGTACAATCGGGTCAAACTACGAATAATGACAATGAAGATCGCAGAGCCATCAGTGGAATGCATAGATATCTGCACAAGAACAACTCACTCTGCTTACTATATACACTTGAATTCCCTCATGTTGTGTACCGTCGTTCAAGAATTGAAATGTTCTATTCAAAGAATCCCCCCTCTATACAAAAAAAAAAAAAAAAAAAAACC